ATTCTTACTTAAAATGATTTTGCACTCAGAAATTCGGGACTTAAATACGGATTTGATGCACGAGAAAATAGTGTATATTGGACGTGAAGAAGGGAGCAAGTTGCACGTGGGGAAAAAAACGCGCCTGATTTAAATGTCACACTTAACGCTCACATCCTTTTAATTATGTTTGAAATTATGAACATTGCTCAACATCATGAAAATTAAACCTTATTTTCAATAAGCAATCCTGAAAAATATTTGGGGGTGCTTAACTTTTTTCCAGGTGTATATATCAATACCGTAGAATTCCACTATAATTTATCAAGCTTAGTAACTAAGCTGTATTTGGGTCTGAAAAAAATATGAAATTTCAAGCAGACTAAAGACACAACCTACCTCCTTGAAATATTGGTTTGAAAGAATGAGATGGCATTCTAACACATGAAAATGGTTGAAAAAGCCACTAGGGGGACATTATGAGGTCTCAATTGGTTATTTACACGTCATATATTGAAGTAAGTGTATATAAGTGGAAAGAGGTGAGTGGAGCCACTGTGTTTGATTCAGTACGTGAATGATATCTCAGCAAATAGAAAAGATATTAGGTTATTATTTTATATTCTAGCTTGTCAATATCGGTAATTTGAGTTCCTTATTTATACGAAAGTATGGACTTAGTTCTGACTTCACAAACATCTAATTTGAACCAGTGCTGCATTCAACATACCACGTGACAAACAAAAGTCGATGTTTATTAGTGTTGTTTAATATTTACTTTTAAATTAAATAATTGAATAATGTATAGTACTAAAATTTGAATTATAATCTACAGTTTGTTACCAAACTTATTGACATAGATTCATGAAATAGTAGTGAGTCAACAAACACAATGACATGGCCTTTGACCCATGACTCATCTGGAGAGGATTAAGTGTTCTTAGCAATGCCTATTTTGATTTTGTATTTATACAGCTTTTTTTTTTCTATTTTTTGTATTATTTTTATCATTTGTGACTTTGGGATTGAGCCTGCTTTTCTTTTATTTTAAGTTTAAATGTCATATGTTTCTGTGGATGAGGATTTGGCTTAAAAGTATGCTTACAGAGGGGGAAACAAAACAAAGAGCTCCACACCTAGAGGTATCTCCCAGAATTATGACATTCTTAACTTCTTTCACTGTTTATTCTGTTTTTTACACTGTAAAAACAAATTTGGTAATGAATGTGCTTTATTTTTGTACTAGTACTTCTTTTAATTACATTATTACTTGTCATATTTTTAGAAAGATACTCATACTCTATACTTTTCCTTTTTAGGTTATTGAAATGCATATAGCTGAATGGTTTTTGATACAGTGTAGTAATGTTACCGTTTCTATCTTCAAAGAATCCTCACAATCAGTTAAAATGTGGAGAAAAAATAGTAAGATGCTTTATGTTTATTTATTTGCTTTATATTGCAGTGTAGTGCAAATGTTATCATGATTTGAACAACAAATGTACCAGAACTAGTAGTCCAGGTGGTTGAAAAATATCATTTCTTCAACATATACACATTACTAATATTAGTTCTGAAACATTTATCTTTCTTGTTATTTATCGTATTGCTCAACTGCATGAAAAGCATAATTTTTTTTTTTTTTATATATGAAAGTATATCTACTATATCTATATATGGTACCTTTGAATATTCTGAACTGAGAATTTCAGTCTTTTTGATTGTTTCTTATGTTAAAAAAAGTGAAAATAACTGGACAGATTTGGCTCAACATTGGCATATTTATTTATGGTATGTGTCGTCAATGGTTTAAATATTCTCAAGCAGAAATATATTTTTTCTAGGATGTATATTATAAAAGTAGTGATGAACATTGATAACTGTCCTTGGCATATTTTATTTTTATATGCAGTACATTTGGTTAAACTAAACCACTGCCTTTTGCACATACCCAAAACCAAGAAATCATCATGTTATCAACAGTTTTCATGTAAACCAATAAATACATATAAATGTTTCTCATTACTAAGTACATTAAGAAAATTGGCGCACACACACACACACACACACACACATATATACACATAACTCTTGACAGTAAATATTTTCACATTTGTTTCATTAAGATAGTTTCCTTAATTGTTTATGTATCATAACTTTTTCAATTTTAAATATAACAACTTCAAATTTTGTTAGCTGTTACTAATTTCTTGGATATATTCAAATACATAAATTGCAATAGTAGTTAAACCAGTTGCACATGAGACAATAAGTTGTAATATAACACTGAAAGCAAAAGCTAATTTATAAAATATGACAAGTATAAGTAAAAAATTTATTGCTAAATAAAGCTACGTAGGACTGGCCACTGATCTTGAAAAAAAGAATGAAACAAGATAGGGATGGAAGTAGACATACCACTTGGTTGGCTAATGATCACATAGTATACTAAAGCTGTCACAAATTTATACAGAGAATCAAATCCCTACATTACTGGTTTCCCCACTTTGTCTATTGAAAGCTTGGTGTTTGAATAAAATCTCAGCTTTCATCATTATACCTTACCTTTAGTTAACTTTAGAATACTATTTTTATAACTATTTTACAATAGAGTAACATTTTACGATTGTAAATTCTGATTCCATTTGTTTTGTCAGGGAGGAAGCCAGTATTGTAGGTAATTTATTCCCCATGTAAAGTTGAAACAGCTTAGCCTGCTATGTGATCATTAGTTGATCAAGTGTTAACTCCAATTCCATCCCTGTCTTGTTTGATTCCTTTTTCAAGTTCAGTAGCCAGCCCTACAGAGCTTTTTTATTTTGCAATAAATTTTTTCTTTATATTTCTTTGTTTACTTTTTTTATAAGATGGCATATGTTGGTTAATAATTTATAGAGTGTATTCTAAAGCTTTATATATTTTGCATAGAATAATGATAAAATAGGTTGTCAAAGATTGTGAAGACTGTTTTGCTCTATCAAATGATGATAAAATTATAGTTACTGCTAGAACTAGATAGATGCAAGGCCTGTTGAAGAAAGATGATGAACAAAAATAGGAAAACTTGTTTTTGCTATTTGCCAGTTTTCAACTTTGGAATGCTGTGTATAACTGGAAAGTGACATATACACCAGAGATAGAGCTATAATGCCAGGTAGCTCTTCATATCTAGTTTCTGATGTCATGTAGAGAAGAAAATCTAAATGATCTTTGTATTGCTTCCGTGCCATCCCTACATAGAGAGTGGTAGTGCACTCTCTGATGAACATCGTAATGACATTGTTTACATTTTTGCACCACTTTGGTTATTGAGTCCTAGCTAACTAATGCATTCAAGTGCTGATTTGTGAAGGATAAAGTGATCTTACACTGTAATGTCTGTCTTAATGCTTGAGTATTATATTGAGCCAGTTAAGAAATGATTATTTTAGCACAGGAAAAATCTCAAAACAATAGAATGAATCTGAACACTTAATAACAAACTTTTTATGTAAAAAATAAGCATATTTGATATATTACTAATTATTTGATGTCTTGTTATTGTGGTTTTAATAAATATATGAAGTAGAGCATAATCTAGTTTTCAAGCAATTTAAGTTACGAAAACTGTTTGATATTTCTCATCAAGAATTGCATATATTAGAAATTCTTCAATTTAATAAATAAATATTTCTTTCTTTCTCTTGTATTGTGAAGCTATCACACACACATATTAGGAATGTAAGTTAACAAATTTTAAACTTTTTTATTATAATAATATTTGTTGCATAAGGCTTGTAGTTCACCAGTTTCAGTGATGGCTACTAGGGCATGAGTGTTGTTTTTTAAGTAATCTCTAAACTATAATTTTGTATTAGAAACTACAACTAAAGGAGTGGGATCGTACATCAATGAGATAATATTGGAGATCTTAAAACCCACAGTGGAAACTCTGTCTTTGCTTCCAGTATCTTCTCAGGCAGATATTGTAAGAGCCACCATTAAAGCTATCATTCAGGCTTGGCAGTCATACATGTACAGCTGCAAAATATGTTTCAGGTAGTTGATATTATCATTTATATCTAATGTTTAAAAATATAATAAAGTTGATTAAAAATGTAAAGTTTCAGTTCCAGATCATGCATGTTTGTAAGTTAGTTGACAGTATTAGACAAATATTAAGTTTCTACATACTACAAGAATCTAGCATTTGTAATATGTTGTTACTGTCCTTCAGTATAGGTGCAACAATATTGGCTTGTATTCTTCTTTCATATTTTTTAAACTGTTGCTATCCTGATGCTTAGAAAAAAAATCAAAAATTACATATAGAAATTAAGGTTTCTGTTTTCTTGCAATAGTCTAGTCTTATTATTAGGTTTGATTCCAAGATGTATGGGTCCAATATTGTATTTATTTTTATAACAGTTTTGTATAAAAGTCTCATCACGGAATTTGTACTCTTAATATTAAGAATTGATAAGTTTCTCCAGTATATGTGTTGATAAATTAATGCTGAAACTTAATTATTCAGGCCTTCTATTAAAGTTTTTTTTTTTCTTTTCAGCTGACTTTTGTGATTTTGCAAGTTTTTGTACTTTTCTGTGATATTCTATATTGATGATGATTATTATTATTTTTTTCCAACAATAAAAAAATGTAATGAGTCTGTTATCTAAGGACATCAGAGCTAATTCTTGGTACTTGTGTAAACACAGAAGATAGCCACCTTGCTTACTGTTAATTTTTTAAAATAAAATTAAGCAGCTAAGGCAAACACTGTGCTGGTCATATATAATTAGTGTTTTTCTCTTGTATTGCAATAAAGTGAACATGTCTAAGATATTATAAGGTACTTCAAACAATCTATTAGCTTTGAAAATTGATACAAACTTGCAATTCTAAGAGGAGTGGTATCACTTAATTTTGTCTATTCAAGATTGGCCTCATTTTTTATAAGTACCAGACTCACTCAGATTCATAATTACTGTTCATCCTAAGGTCAACTAACTATCACAATGTTTTCCATTTCCACAATACTGATGAGTTCTCAGATTTATCAGTAATGTCTTCTTTTATGTGAGCAGACAACTACCTGATGGTGAATTCTACATATATTCATCAATATAGTCATAAAAAGTAAATTTGTAAATGATGAATTATCAATTGCAGGCTATGTTCAAAATTGAGACAAACTCTCTCTTTTTTTTCTATGTATTATTATTATTGACCTACTAATAACAACATTGTTGCTATTGGTTTCTTGTGCACATCAAGGTAGACATTTTGTTCTATACATTTTACTAGTATTATCATCAGTGAAGCTACTTTTAAATTTGTTGCTTTTCAAGAAAACATAAGGTATACTAATTTTTCATGTAAAAGGAATAACTACTTTCAAGCCTGTAAGTACGATTCACAATAATTTCCAGTAATTTAAGTTTAAAAATTGTAGGAACTAAACTATCAAACTGAGTATATATATTCTGAAAAAATTTGGTTTATGATGTACACTTATTTTAAAAACACCTTTTGGATTTAATTCTAAAGTACTCAAATATGGGGGTGTAAGCAGTACCTCTGAAGGATGACATGTTGTACTTTATGGAGTAGTTGATCCTCTTTGGTCCCCACCAATGCAAAGCTGTCACCTGTGGCTCCAAGTAGCTGTTGTATCTGATCAATGGCCATACCCTGGAAAATCACCTCTCCTGATGAGGGAAACCATTGGCCCAAAACCAATAGTAAATAAGGGAATGAATACCCTAGCATATGAAGACTGTTCTGGTGATCAGAGTGGAAGAGACTACTGTATGGTTCAATGTCTTGAAAGGCAGAACAGAGGTACACTATGGATTGCAAAAGAATGGCATGGCACAGAAAATGCCATGACTATACACTGTGACCAAAGAAACTTCCAGTTGTAATGGTTCTCTATGCCACTGATCCTTAGTTTCTACAGAAGAGAGAGTTGAATTGTCTCTATGCATTGCAATGATATTCACACTTTAAAAATATTCACGCACAGGTTCATGTATTACCTCTTACAATATTTTTTTCTTCAAGTCCTGCAGTGAAGGGCAAGTGGTGCAATGACAGATGGAGACAACCCCTGGCTGTAGTAGCTACAAACCTCTTTGTAGGTGGCCTGGAACACCAGTCTCTTGGCTCTGAACTTTGGGCAGTAGAGAAGTTTGGCAGCATTCCAGGCAACTGAACAGCTCTTTTTATTTTATATAGCATTGCTCATCCTTTGACAAGGAGGGGTCTAGAAAAGGTGCATGGAAAATGTTCTGTCCTACAGCAACTGGCCAGCTTATTCACTATGTGGTCAAAAAACATGAAGAAAAAATTTATGTGAGAAGCATGGAACATTCACACACTTATGGACAAAGACAATATCCTGAAACCAGAGAGATAAACAGTACTTATTGCAAAAAAACTTGCTCATTATAGTATTGACATCGTAGAACTTAGTGAAACTAGGTTAGTTGGGGAAGTCTCCATTGAAGAACTTGAAGGCATTTACACTTTATTTTGGAAAGGAAAAGCAGGAAATGGAGATGGAATACATGGAGTCAGCTTAACCATCAAAACTTCCTCTTGATGGGACAAAGGTCCACCTCTAAAGTTCAGGGTTTGATTCCCAGTGGTAGACACAACAGATAGCCCAATAGGAATAAATAAATGCCTGAAGACATTCAGGTTCTCAATGAACTCTATGCACAGTATTACCATCATCATTGTCTACACCCCTACATGGAACAGCATTTTTACTCTGATCTAGATGGCATCATTAATTAGGTCTACACCTACTAACCATAAAATTGTCATATTGAGTAACTTCGATGCTGAAGTTGGCTAATACAACAGAAATTTGACTGGTGTGATGGGAAAGCATGGAGTATAAAAGATGAACAGTAATGGGCAGCAAGTGTGCAGAACACATACTAATAACCAACACCACATTTTGACAAGCTGACAAGTATAAAACTATTTGGAAACATCTGAGGTCCAACCAGTGACACGTGTATTGCCAAATGCTGACACATTAGAGCTGCGATCAAACTTGATAATTATCCCCTTACAATGTAAATTCTTAAAAATGACAAGGGTAGTTTTCAGTACAGCTAAATTTAAATGTCTTGATTCTTATGATGAGCTAAAATAAGAGTTAAAAGAGAAACTCATTCTCTACTCGTAGGAGAAGGAATCCCTATCTGAAAAGTAGAATCAGTTCAAAGAACTGTGGAAAAAAAAAGCAAAATCTGTGCTTGGGCCAAAAAAGGTAAGTCCATCAAGATTGGTTTATGAAAATGAAGAAGAAATAACAAAAATCTTAATGAAAAGCAGAATGCCTTCATGAAATGGCAACACATTCAAACACCAACCATAAAGAAAGATTGTTTCAAAAACTTGCAGAGAATGGCCTAAATCCAACTAAATAAGATACAGAATGATTGGTGGATGAAAAAATAGAAAAAGAGATCCAAGTTTATGCACAAACCAAAAACTTTAAAAGTTCTTTGATGCCTTGAAAGCCATATATGGATAATCAAAGTTGGGTACTACACCATTATCATCATCAGATGGTACCATGCTCATCAAGGACAAGGCAGGTGTCACTTAACATTAGACAGAACATTTCAGTAAACTACTCAGCAGATCATCTTCAGGAGACCTAAAAGCCCTTGACCAAGAACCTCAACAGCCTATCCTGATAATGATGGGATTATGGCTGAGATATATAAAGCTGCTGACCCAAAAATCATTGAGATCTCTTACAGCATGTTAACCCTATGGATACAGATAGGGATCAGAGGATATGTCATCACATTTGTAGACTTATATTCAAAATTGTATTTAACTTTTATTTTATAAATGTATGTCAGTAAGTTTGGCATCAAATTGTAGATTATAACACAAATTTTAGCATTATAGATTAGTAAGTTTCTTAATTTGAAACTAAATATTACAAAAAGAGGCTAAATATTGATTTTTGTGTATCACATGGTACTTCGCCTTCAGGGTTTGGACGCATTGCATTTTATGATGCCCACAATATAGCATCTATAGTTTATGAATTAGAAATTCAACTTTTGATATTGGCAAGCTAGAATATAAAATAAGAACATCCTACTTTTCTATTGGCTGAGATATCTCAATATTTAGTGAATCCACCATATTGGCTTTGCCCACCACTTCATCATTAGAGAACATTTGTTTATCTATGCCTACTTTTGTATACCAATAACTTTATAACCATTTGAAAGCTCTACATTTCTTCTACTAAATTCTGTCAGCTCTTATATCTTTGCAAAGTTTAAAGTATTAGGATCAAGGCTATTTACTGAATAGAAATTATTTTTTTTCTTAAGACCCAAATACAATTTAGTTATGAAGCCAGTCAATTACATTGGATTTATGGGGTATTGGTATAGTGACTTATAATTTTTTTTTGTATTTCAAAATATATATATATATATATATATAAAGTCTAAAAAAGTTATTATTTTTCTATCTCCACGTGTGAATTTGGACGAGGCTTACGATAAATGTTTGCAAGTACGACTCACGAGTGCAAACGAGGACTTCATAGTATTGCAAGTAGTAGAGAACATTGTTTTCCAAATATTTTTTATTTACTGTTCTATGTTTTAAGAAAAATAATTGACATTTAAGTATTTATTTGAAAATAATTATAATATATATACATATGTAATGTATGGTAACCAAAATGTTACTGTATTTTACAAAATACTGGTATACCAGTGCTAAGAGTAATAGATTTGTACTTTTTTTTTATTATAGAGAAGTTTTAGAACATATTATTGTACATTCAAACAGACTTTTGTATACCAATAACTTTATAAACATTTGAAAGCTCTACATTTCTTCTACTAAATTCTGTCACTCTTCCTAATGTACTTTATTGCCCACCTTCCAGAAGATGGAGTGAATTTACAGATACATTGGGTTTGCTCATTAATAATATTAAATTGAATAATTCTGTATTTTTGGGGGGTAATTTTAAATTTTTTTCAGTATACCCAAACTAC